TATATATATATATATATATAGCACATTTCTCATACGGATTAATGCGTACACATTGGCTTCTGAATCAGCGAATGGAGGGGCTTTATTGAAAAAAACCTCCGATAACTGAGTGAGATCTCGTGATCGTACTGCGCATTCAAAAGCGAGGGTTTTTTTGAAAAAAAGTCACCGAAAGCCAACTGGGTTGTAGGCTGTCTAAAAATCACAATAGATAGTTGATCCCCCATCAAACACCGATGATGGAAGTTACAATATGACGACTTTCAGAAGGCTACAATTTGAGGACTTTCACGTAGAAGGCTACAATCTGACGACCTTCACGACAACTAATGAAGGCCCCAATTCAACAGCCTTCACAATCAACATCGGGAGTTACAATCTGACGACTCTCATATTTTCAAAGAGCCAAGACGAATGTTACAAGGTGACGATCTTTGCAACGCTCTAGCAAAAGAGACTACAAATTGACGGTCTCTTCATATTAAAACGCATATATCTCTCAAAACGTAAGGAATTTGGCAAAACGGAGGAAGCGAACTGAAGCATTCGGCTAGGTTTGGATGGATCCGCCTCGTCGAGATAGCCGATTTTCATATATAATTCGTCTAATTCCGACTTACGGTTTGAAAGTTATGACCTGTTCTTCGTAGCAGATTATGTTCTGAAGTCCGTCTGCAAGACCAGACTTCGTCAGAACATTGGACTTAGCTTGAAGCTCGCCAAGCCCGCCTAAGGTTCGCCTCTGCATTACAGAGTCAAAACGCACAGGTGGAACCAGCGTTATAACCATAAAACGCAGAGGTCGTGGCTGCGTTCCAAACTCAAAACGCAGAGGTTGTGGACTTAAAACGCAGAGTTTAACTCTGCGTCCAACAACAAAAACGCACAGCCTAACTCTGCGTCCCAGATCCAGAGACGCACAGTTAATGTAGAGTTCAACTCTGCGTCCCAAGTCCAGAGACGCACAGTTAATGCAAAACCTAACTCTCCGTCCAACAACAAAAACGCACAGTTCATCTATGCACATTGCGACCTGTGCGTTTTCAGCCTAAAACATCCCAACTCTGCGTCTCAGAGTTCATCACGCTACGCGGCCTGTGCGTTCAGCCACCAAAATAGGCCCAACTCTGCGTTTTTAGTCTAAAAACGCAGAGTTCGGGCCCTGAACGCTATTTTTCAGCGTTTGACTCGTTCAAAGCACGCAATGAACAGTTCCAGGAACTGTTTTTCCCCTTCCAGAACCGTTTTCTCCCCAAGATTTTAGGGGATCACTACCCTATCATGGAGAGATTTATGGGGAGCAGTTAGACCCCATTAAACCCTCATTAAGGAGATATTTAAGGGGGCGGTTATACCCTTAACCCCCTATAAATACCTCAAAACTCAACTGAGTTCGGATCCTCTTTTTTTGGAGGGGGGGAGCTGACTTTTTGGGGATCCTTGATCGAGCATCTTGCCGCGTTCTGCAGCAACAAGGAGTTTTGGAGACCAGCAACAGGAGCTTCTTCCTTGGCTTATTAACCGAACTTTCGGTTCAAATCAACTCTTTTTCAAGAGTTCAAACTCGTTCAGAGTTATCAACTCGATCAGAGTTCAAAACTTACTCTACGAGTTCTTCTAAAACTCGTTCAGAGTTATCAACTCGTCAAGAGTTATTTCAAAACTTGCTACGCAAGTTCTCCACAGCGTCAAATCGTGAGGAGAAGACATCGTTCCAGTGAATCAAGACGTTCGGATCGTCAACGAGAAGCAAACTCGACGCGAGCATTCGAGGGAGGCATCTCATCGCCACCGTGAAGAACCCAGAATTAAACAAAGGGGAGAATCAAATTCATTCTCCTCTCTTTTGTAATCGGAATCCAAATTGTAATTGATTTTGAGAGGAATACAAGTCAAAATTTTCTTTCATTGTCTTTTTACTGCAAATTTCCAACAAACATGGGTTTTTTCCTCCTCGTGACCACTCACTCTCTCTCTCTTCCCATTCCCCCCAAATCAAATCCCCATCACGAGAATCCCCCAAATCCATCCCCGTCACCGCCGCGACTTCGCCGACATCCCCCACCGAAAGCGCCGGCCCCATCACCGACTTCCCCCGTCAGCGACGGCCCCATCACCGACTTCCCCCGTCAGCGACTTCTCCGACTTCCCCCTTTTGTAAGTGCCGGCCCTATCACCGCCGGCGACGACATCCCCGTCACCGCCAACGACAGCCCCTGCTTTTCGACATCCCCAAATCCATCCCCGTCACCGCATCGTGGGTGGTTTCAGAGCTCTTCGTTGACTTTTTTCGACAACAGGTAATCTTTTTTAAACTAGTTTTTCAATTGTTTGATGTATATCGATCTTCATTCATGAGGGGAAGAAATGAGAAGAATAAGAAGAAAATATAATAATGTTATTATGACTTAAGGGGGAGTTCAAAGGGAAGAGCATGATGAAAAAACACAAGCTCATTTGTGGTTTGTTGTGAGAGGAATTGGAGCATGGATTTTGTGCACTCTTGATTGTAGCCAAAACTCCATTGGAACGCAAGAGGAGTGCTCAGTATTTACGTGTCCTTTTTCTTTCTTCTTTTTGTATTCCTTTTCATTTACCTTACATGAATATTGAGTTTTGATGGTATAGAATCCTTTCTTGTTTGACATTACAGCAATTATACAAGGGAAAAAGAAAGTCTCTTTGAGACTATTTTGGCACTTAATGGGACTTCACTCTTAGAATACAAGATACTGCTATAACTAGTTTTCCCTCGTGTCCTTGATTTGTTGAGGAGATATTGTTATACTTCTCCGTCAGGGCTCTGTTTTCTCACTCTGATGCAACACATACAATAATTAATATGTCCTTTTCTCCCAGAATGATAATAAAAATAATTAATATGAGCACTTCCTCACGGGGGGAGCTAACTAGAATTTATAACCAATTTGGTTGATGATATTATTCTACAGGTCAATACTCTCTTTACATTGATAACTACACTATATATCTTTACATTGATAACGTTAATACATATAGAGTAGCATATGTTATACATTTGAGGTAAACTCTGTTAGTATGCAATTCTTGCTGCATCTTAATATGCAAATATACCGAATTTATAAAATTTGATATTATATGCATTTTATATAGGTCAATTACAATTTTTGTGAGAAATGGATAACTTAGGCACTGAAGCTAATGAAGTAAACTTGGACGACGATGATTTGATATATACTCCTCAAGTATCAGATGAGTTGAAGTAAACTTGGACGACGATGATTTGATATATACTCCTCAAGTATCAGATGAGTTGAGGCCAAAAAAAGGGCAAGAATTTGACAATATACTCCTCAAGTATCAGATGAGTTGAGGCCAAAAAAAGGGCAAGAATTTGACACAATAGATGATGTCGTGACATTCTACAATGCTTATGCTAAAACAACTGGGTTTAGTGTAAGGTCTTGGACTACTCAGAAAGAGCCGGGAAGTTGTGAAATAAGAAGGAAGGAGTATGTTTGTTTTAAACAAAGAAAATCTCTAAAAATCGCGGATGTTGGAAAGAAAAGACGTCGAGGAAGCTTAGTTGAGGATTGTACTGCCAAAATTACAGTTTTAAAATCAAACTCCGGTAAATACATTGTTACTGTTTTTAATGAGGAGCATAGCCACCCACTATCAACATCATCAAAGGTTCATCTTTTAAGGTCTCATCGTAACGTTTCAGCCGCAACAAAGTCTCTAACTAAACAGTTATCCATGGTGAATATACCTCAGCATAAACAATTCAGTTTTCTTAAAGTACAATCTGGAGGTATAGAAAATATTGGGTGCACTCAAAGAGATTCATTAGTAGCTACATGGTTAGTGGCCGCACGGTTGCAAAGAGCTTCACCGAGAAAAATAATCAAATGAGTAGTAATTTAATGGATGATGGTACTAGTGTGCAGGATTCTTGTACTTTTCAAAATAGTTTCAATGAACCCGATCAAGTACGAGCAAAAGGGTGCGGCAAAAGGTTGAAGGGAGGAAAAGAGAAAGCAATGGCTAGAGCAAAAAATAAAAAAGATAGACGCTGCCACGGGTGTGGTAAAGTAGGCCAATCACATGATAAGAGAAATTGTCCGGCACTCACAAATCCGTAAGTAATAATTCTTTTATTATTTACGTTGTCTTATTCTTCACCTTCTATTATCCCCCTTGATGTATATATATATATTTTCATTATATTGTAGGTCTTCTACATGCGGTGATACAAATTTGCAAGAGGGTAATGGGTCATCAAGTGAAGATGGGGATGATGTGTTATTATGCGGTGATACAAGGTGATCCTCTTTCTCCTATGCATTTCTTCCTCTATCTAGCTGCTCAAGCTTTAGATAGTTTCAAGGACAATGCTAAAATTAGTTGCCATTTTAGGTCCAAGTCCAATCTCCAGCATAGAAAGGGCAGAATAACTGCACACTGTCCACAACAATGTGTTGCCTTCCTTACAGCTAGTTGACTCTCATTTATATTCTTGAATAG